GCTTTTGCAGGAAGACTCAGAGATTCATAAAGTGTGTGCTTTTCAGATATAGGAAGGGTACCTTAAAAGGTGATTAATGCCTAAAATGGCACATGACAAAGAAATGAAGACATATTTTAGGAAAAAGTCTATGTTCATTCATCAGATGATGGTTTATGCTGTGAAGAAACAAGCACTGCCAAGGAGGCTTCTCAGATGTGAAGGCCATCGTAGACCATGAGTCCCCTCCCTCGTTTTGTGTCTGCCCCAAATCTGACCTCTTTGATAAGTGAGGAATGAATGAGGACATTTGGGAGGAGGAACATGAAATGCCACACACTGATTACCTTGGAAGGGGCCCCTTCTCCTAGGTGACTGTTATCCCTTCCCTGTGTTCATTGCACAGAGTGAGGCCAAGGCTCTGCATCCTGGTTCTGGACAAAGACAAGTGTGACACTTAGGTAGGGGTGAGAGGAGAAGCAAAGACAAAAAAGAAAAAATGCATTCAGGGGCATGGAGGAGGTGTGGTCCAGGCAAGGGCTGTGGACTGGGAAAACTGACCAACGAGAGTGGGCTGCTCACCAGGGCTTCAGGGAAGTCCCAGGATGCTCTTCATGTGCCTGAAAATGACACAGGGTATTAGGGCTGGAGGGAAGCTTGTAAATGCCCTGAGGGACAGGAGCTCTGAGGTTTGGGTCCCCTGGAGAGGTTTGAAAAGGCAACATGAGGAGGAGCAGGGGAAGGAGAGGCATCCCGTGGCAGAAGAAGGGACACCTTGGGTCTGGATTCATCTGTGGATCTGCATAGAAAGAACCGCCCTCCAGGGGAGGCCCCAGGCACCTTGCAGAAGGCGAGGTGGAGTGAATGCCTGAGCTGTTGAGGGCACTGGGATGTGGGCACAGAGAACCCATGGGGGAGAATGACCGGGTGTCCACAGCAACAGTCCAGTTCCCAGTTCCGTGAAGCCCTCTGCGGCTCACCCACCTTGCCATCTGTATCCTCATGTGACTTTCCAATGTGAAACTGTCCAAACCCCTCACCTTCACAAGCAACACTTACAACAGCAACCTCTTAGTCACAGATCCTCATGTCCCCACAAGCTCAAGGTCTGATATTTTCCGGGAACAGGTAAATATGTCATTGAAAATATTTCAGTAAAGGAGCAGATAATCACATAAAACAGAATTAAAAATATGTGGAGATAATATGAGAACACAATTGCAGATGTCAGGTGTAATAAAAGAAAACTTGAAAAAAAAATAAAGTTGGTAATCTTGGTCCTCCTCCACAAATTCCCCAAATGTAGAAGACTGGGGGGGAAATGTTGGAAAAGTTCTCTTTGATGTCCTTGATCATGGACATCATATCGTGGCCATGGAAAGCGGAATAAAAGTCAATTGGAGGGAGAATGAGGACAGAGGTGTCGTAGGTGACAGGAGAAAGTGTGAAGTTGTTAACAATCAAAGCGGCCCTGAGTGTGTGAGAACATAATGCCCACACCCAGGTGACATCACTCATGACACAGCACCGTCCTCATTACTAATGCACCCATGGTGTGACCACAACAATGGTCTGAGGGTGGAGTCCCCTCAGTGATCTTCATATGACTTTGTCACCTGCCATCAAGCAGAGGTAGTAGCTTTTAAAATATAATTTTCACCAATACTTGCATTATGTGTTGAATACATAAATTACCATTTCCTCAAATGTAAAATGAGTGTTAGTGCCTTTGTATCCCCTTAAAGTAGCAGCCGTTCTTATAGCTCCACGTTAATTATTTAATGCATCATTCCCACACAGTTCCCCATGATGGCACAGCCTGCTGCTCAAGCATTGCAGAGTTTCCTTGCATGTTGACATCTGCATCACTACCTGGCACCTGGCTTTCCAAAGCAGAGAAACTAACGCCCATCACAGGATCCTAAGCTGGTCCTAGAAAATACCTCCTATGAGAGCAGCATAACATCCAGCTGCTCCACAAATAAGAACTTCAAAGTTATATTCTTTCTTTCTTTTTTTTTCTTTTTTTTGAGAGGGAGTCTCGCTCTGTCTCCCAGGCTGGAGTGCAATGGCACGATCTCTGCTCACTGCAAACTCTGCCTCCCGGGTTTACGCCATTCTCCTGCCTCAGCCTCCCTAGTAGTTGGGACTACAGGCGCCCACCAATACTCCCGGCTAATTTTTGTATTTTTAGTAGAGACGAGGTTTCACCGTATTAGCCAGGATGGTCTTGATCTCCTGACCTCGTGATCCGCCTGCCTCAGCCTCCCAAAGTGCTGGGATTACAGGCGTGAGCCACCGCACCTGGCCTATATTCACTTTTTTAAACCTTACCCAGAAAGCCAATCCATCACCAGCTGTAGAGATTCTCTCCAAGCCTCCTTCAAAACTACCTGGTCTATTGACTTTCTATTCTACCTTCATGAAACTTAGTGATTAAGGGCTCTAATGAAATTTTCCCCTGACTGACACCTGGGCCCACCCCTCTCTGTGTCCTCAGAGTCTTTCTGCTTCCCTGGTGTCTCTGATGGTGAAATCTGACCCCTGGTCCCAGGGTTCCTCCCTCTTCCTGCCTGAAGGGCTGGGTCTCCTCTCAGTGAAGGGCCCATGACCTCACCCTATGTGGTCCCTCCTGGGAAAGGCAGAGACCTTGCCTCTGTTTCCTTCAAACAGAGCCCGTTTTCCCTGATACTCATCACCTCCAACAACACAAAGTGAATCTCAATGTCTTAACCAGAATGCTGGCTCTACTGGGTTTTCGCTCATCTGAACAGATTTGAAAGTTTAAAAGTACAGTCAGCACTGGATGCTGAGCAGAGACCCCCTGGACAGCGGCTGGAATTGTGAGGCTTTCAGGATGGAAGGACAGGGAGCCTGGGCACCAGCACCTGCCCAGGGTCAACCTGACTTACGCATCCACCAGAGGGCGCTGTGGTTCAAGCCCTGCTCAGGCTCCCCAGCTCCTCAGCTGTTTTCCCTGGACCTGCAGGTGTTTTGTGCCCTCCACGGGGTGTAACCCCTTCTCCTTGAATAGCCTCTTCATTTCTCAGCCAGAGCCAGTCTGAAGTCAAAGGAGGGGCTTGTGCAGGTTCCAGAAAAGGAGACATTTGCATGGAGACCTCCCACCCTGAGCATTACAGTGAAAGATAAGAAGGGCTGGTGGCTCCTTCCTGGCTGTGGCTCAGAAAGCAGAGCCTGGGGCGTCTCCACCATGGCCTGGGCTCCACTCCTCCTCACCCTCCTCACTCACTGCACAGGTGTCTGCCTGCAGGGAATTCAGGGAGGGCTCCTGGATGTCACCTGGGGTGATGACCTCTGCCTTCCCCCTGGGAACTAGCCCTGACCTGTCCTCACTGATCTCTGTTTTGCTTCTCGTTGCAGGGTCTTGGGCTGAGGTTGTGTTCACTCAGCCCCATTCTGTGTCGGGGTCTCCGGGGCAGACGGTCACCATCTCCTGCACCCGCAGCAGTGGCAGCATTGACAGTGAATATGTGCACTGGTACCAGCAGCGCCCAGGCAGTGCCCCCACCACAGTGATTTACGAAGATAACAAAAGACCCTCCGGGGTCCCTGATCGGTTCTCTGGCTCCATCGACAGCTCCTCCAACTCTGCCTCCCTCACCATCTCTGGGCTGAAGTCTGAGGACGAGGCTGACTATTACTGTCAGTCTTATGACAGCTACAATCCCACAGTACTCCAGACCCATGGGGAAGTGAGACAAGAACTCCCCAGAGCATCCCCACCCTGGGTCAGCCTCAGCGTCTTCCCACCGGGGTGTGTGGCTCTTCTCTCCTGCCTGAGTATGAGACTTGCACTTGTCTTCTTACAACTTTCTCTGTTTTCTTTTCAAAATATCAATCTCTCCTTCCAAATCTTCATGGATGATGATCAATTCATGGGGTAGATGTTTAAATCAGGGCTTCTGAGCCACAACACTATTGCTATTCTGTGTTGGGGGCTCTCCTGGACAGTGTAAGATGTTTAGCAGCATCTCTCACCTCTACCCGTTAGATTCTGTTAATATTCTGTTCTCTCCTGGAACAAACAGGCTGTCTCCAGACAGCGCCAAATGTCTCCTTGCTGAAGGGCAAAGTCAGCCCTTGTTGGTACCACTCTGATAAAGAGCATGTCCTCAGCCATCAGAACACCCTTGGCTTTGCATCTCATTTATGACATTCAATTGAACACGAGGCTAGCTTCAAGAAAAATGAAAACACCTCTGTTTTTTTTCTCATCCGATGAACACAACAATATCATAGAACTAAGATTTTTTAATGCTTAAATGGTATTCTAAGCCACATGAGATCAGAAACGCTGTTACCTAAGCCTGTAGATGCCCCAACCAGAGTCTATAATGCAAATATTTTGTCAAGACTAAGCGTGCACATAATGCTTTATATCCTTGTATGCTTTGTATGTTGCACAATAAAATATAGTGATCTATATTCTATTCAAGGTAATGTTCTTCAAGCATAAGAAGTATGAAGTGCTGCTACATGCTCCACATGGATGGACCTTGAAAAATTATGCTGCATAAATGCAGCAACCAAAAATGCACAATCATTCTTGATTTGTATGAAATGTCCACAATCAGCAAATTCACAGAGGCCAAAAGGATAGGGAACATCTTCAACGACTGTCATAACTGAAGTGAGAGGGATGACTTTGACAATAAGAAACAAGGAAACAATTTAAAAAATAAACTGCAGTCGTCTTCCTGAACACAGGTGATGGATTATCTATCCTTAGTTGTCTAAAAAAGTCTACTAGATGAAACTGAGGCCCATAAAAAATACTTTTCGTTTTCTTTTGTAAAATTTAATATGAATAAGAACACTGTGCTTGCTCACTGATCTGCTCATCAGGTCACTTCCTGTGGTCTCTAGAACAGTCCTTCTGGCTTCCCCATCTCCTCCCTGAGCATCGTCATCTAGGGAGTGAACAGCACAGTCAAGGCCACACCTGTGGGACCCTGCGTGAGTTAGCAGGGCTGTGTCCTGGTGATGTAAAGGGACACGGGGCCAGCTGGGGACCTGTGAGGCTGTCTCAGAGGGTGAGTGTCTCTGTCCCTGCCAGCTGGGAAGCCCCTCAGGAGGTTGGAGGGGAGCTGAGCACACAGTGAGCTCTCTGAGCTGAGACGGGAAGTGACTGCAGCTGTCAGGACCTTCAGGGACACTCAGGCAGTCAAGGATCAGGCTCTGTCACCCTGTAGGGCCTGGTTCAGGTCAACTCCTCATCCTGAGATGGGAAGTGACTGCAGCTGTCAGGACCTCTCAGGACCAATGGGCCATCGAGGTCCTGGCTCTCTCACTCCTTGGGGCCTGGATCAGTGAAATCATTTTCCTTCTCTTCCTCCTCAAGGAAACAGAGGCATTACCCTGGACTGAGGGGTGCTGGCATTGGTCAGAGTCCAGAATGTAAACCAAAAAGGAACAGATGCAGATCTTAATCAATTGAGAGGGAAAAAGAAACACAAGTCATAATAGAATCTGTATTTTGTGCTATCTCCAAAGAGGGTTTTGAGGACTTCAATATTTAAAGGGGAAAGGGTAAGTAAGAAAGGAAGGAGGAAAGGAAAAAGCAGGAGAAAAATCAGAGTGGGGAGTAGGCAATGAGGCAAACATTCTTGTGACATTCTTGTGACCACTCAGTAGGGACAGGATCAGAGGAAGCATTGATAGATGAGTCTGGATGAGCTCAGTGCATCTACAGTTAAATATGGAAAGAAATGAGTGGGGGAAAGTCAACTATGCATGCCTCTGCTGAAGGGTGAATCTACGTTTTACATAAGATGAAGTCAATATGTGAAGTTGCAGCTACTTCTGTGAACACAAGGAAGGCAACTTTTGCACAACTCTGTTCCCAGGTGTAACTTTTCCCGTTTGGATAGTGATTGGTCTGTAAGATTTTTTCCTTACGAGGAAGTTTCAATCCCGACAAAAACTAAATTAGTGCCGCCCCCGTTTCGTGAGTATCCGAAGCATTTTTGGAGAACAAGGGGTGAGCGTGCACTGAGTTTGGGGATTCGAGACCGCCTGGCAACACGGGGAAACTCGTCTGCATACTTTATCTTTAAGGTCTTTGTCAGGGGTTCAGGAAGTGCGATACGCCAGGTGAGAACCCGGGTGTACGATGGATGGAGTGGTTTTGGTCTAGGAGCCGGGCCAGGAATTAGCACGCAGCTTGGTGGGCAGTCCTTCCCCAGCAGTGGAGCTTCTGGAGCGAGGTCTGAGGTGTCCCCACCCACCTTGGGGCCTTTCTCCGCGTTCTTTTAAAATGGGCATTTGTCGGGCGGGTTAGAGGGGAAGAGGCCCGCGCTGAGGGTCACACCAGCTCTGCCTTCTACTACTGGGCTCACAAGGCACAAGTGAGCTTGACCCCAGAGGCTCTGTGGTCGAGTGCTGGTGGATTGGTCGAGCGCACGCCTCGGTCTAAGGGAAAGCTCGAGAAATGTGGGCTACTTGAGGTAGCTTGACGCAGTTGGCAGCCAGCTGCTCGCGCATCCGGAAGCCGTGGGAAGGTGCTCGAATGGACTGGTCAGCGGTGCTGGTCCCTAGCAGGAGGCTGATCTATCTACAGACCTAGGATATAGCCTCAGAGCTGAAATTTTCTCTGGCCCTGAGAAAACTTGGGCTAAAGTTTCTCTTATGCGGTTGTCGTTACCCAGGTTGGTTGTTCTTTCCTTTCGATTCACCTGTGACCAACCATGTGCTCTTGGCGGACTACTCATGCGCGTGTCATCTTCAGCACAAGAACCCAAACGATGTCTAAGACCATAAAATGCATTGGTCTTTCAAGCTGGGTCTTAGTCCCATCAGGGAGACATCTTACTTATACATTTTATGTAATTTTCTGGTAACGTTTTTAGTGCCAGTTGGCGCGTACTTGTAATGGAGTGAGGTAGAGGCGTACGCTTTACATTTTTTTTGTCTGCAGGGGAAAATGTGCTCGATGCAGCGTAAGTCGCTTGGATCGTGGACAGGGACGTGTGTGTGTGTAGTTTGTCGGTGGCGGTGTGCACACTGCTACGGACAGGCATGTGTGTTGCCGTGGATCATAACGATTTATCATTCGGTATTCTTAACTGATTTTATTAGGCGATAGATGTTAAGAAGTTTGTAAACACAGTTCACGATGCTGATATAGCAGTATGTCTTTGGTTGTGATTTTAGATATACGGTTATTATACAAACCTTTATTAATGATGAAGTCAACCACTTCTTTGTGAAGTGTGATAAGTCGCCTGTGCCAGCAATCGGGGCGCGTACGAAATGGCTGGTAAATCTGCTGTTGAAATCAGTCAGTTCCTCAAATTTCCTGGCTCAAGTGAACCTCCCACCTCAGTTCCTTGACTAGCTGGGATTACAAGTGAGTGGCATCATGCCTGGCTAATTAAAAATAAATTTTATTTGTCTCAGCATATTGCCCAGTCTGGTCTTGAACTCCTTGGCACAAGCGATCCTCCTGCCTCAGCCTCTCAAATGAGTTAGCTAACATTTTATTTTAAATGTTCACATTAATATGTTTATTTTATTTTTACAATTTTAACTTTTATTTTAAATTCAGGTGGTACATGTGCAAGTTTGTTCCAAGGCTACATTGTGTGATGTTGAGGTATATAATTTTATCTTTCTAAATTGTTCTTAATACATATTTTTAGTTTAAATTTCAACTTTTATTTTCGATATAGCAGGTACATGTGCGGGTGTGTTACATGGGTGTATTGCACCCGGGTAGTGAGCATTGTCCCCAACAGGTAGTTTTTACACCATTCCCTCCTCTCCCTCCCCATTTTAGTAGTGCCCAGTGTCTATTGTTCTCATGTTTATGTCCATGTGTGCTCAATGTTTATCTCCCACTTAAAAATGAGAACATGTAGTATTTGACTTTCTATCCCTGTGTTAGTTTGCCTAGGATTATGTCCTCCTGCTCCATCCATGTTGCTTCAAAGGACATTATTTTACTCCTTTTTATGGCTGCATAGTATTCCACGGGGGATATAAACTATATTTTCTTTATCCAATCCAGCAATGACGGGCACCTAGGTGGATCCCGTGTCTTTGGTATTGTGAATAGTGTGGTGGTGAATTTACAAGTGCATCTGGCCTTTGGGTATAATGATCTATTTGTCTTTGGATAGATACCCTGTAATGGGATTGCTGGGTCAAACGGCAGCTCTGTTTTAAGTTCTTTGAGAGGTCTCCAAATTGCTTTCCACAATGGCTGAAATAATTTCCATCCCACCAACGGTGTATACATGTTTTCTTTACTGTACAACCTTGTCATTGGCTGTTTTTTTTTTTACTCTAATTATAGCCATCCTGACTGGTGTGGCAGGATGGCATCTCATTGTGGCTTTGATTTGCATATCTTGATGATTAGTGATGATGAGCATTTCTCCACAGTTTTGTTGGCCACTAATTTAGTGCAGTTTTAAGTTCATAGTAAAATAGAGAGGAAGGTAGAAAGATATCCCGAACCCTTCCTGACTCCACACACGTCCACCCTACCCCTTATCAATGGGTCCCACCAGAAATGTACACGTTCTGTAATTGATGAACCACATTGACAGGTCATCATCACCACAAGTCAGTAGCTTCCTTAAGGAATTTATCTCGTTGATGCACATTCTATGGCTATGGGTTTGGGCAAATATGTAACGACATGTATCCACCATTACAGTATCATGCAGTGTATTTTCACTTCTCTAAACATCTTCTGGCTTTACTGATTCATCTGTCTCCCCCCTAACCCTTGGAAGTCGATGACCTTTCTACTTTTTTCCTTTGTTTGACTGTAATATACTTGGAATGATTTTCTCCCTTTTTGGACTGTAATGTACTTGGAATCATGTATCATGTCACTTTGAAGGTCAGCTTCTTTTACTTATTAATAAGCATTTAA